GCAGTACGATATCCGTCGAAACTGCCGCATTAACGATAAATCGTAGCGTGTGTAGGGAAATTGGATGGTTTGCAGTATGCAGTCGTCAAATCGTTTGCAGTACGGAGCTTCCGTAAAATATCGTATCAACGGGTCGTGTCTGGGGTGGGGTTTGAACGCAAGTCTGAACGTGTAGAGCGTATTCCCTGCCGCAGCGCGCAGTTATGATATAATTTTTATTTATTTTTGGTTTAATCAATATTATGGATTTAAAAAATAAGACGTTCTGGGAAGACTTTATTGATTTATATACAGAAAATAGATGCCTATGGGATGTGAAACCACTTTTTACGCCATTTTCGCTTTTTGATTTCTTTTTGTTCATCATCTTCATCTATTAGTAATTCCGCAGCTACAAGCACGGCAGCTTTCTTCTTTGAAATTCTTGACATAACGGTAGCCCTTCTCGACGAAAAGTGAATAATCTGAACTGCGGCAGTACAATGTGTTGCATCGTGTGTACAAAAAATGGCCGTACTGCAAGCCGTACGATAAATCGTTACGTGTGTAGGCCGTTTTAGGTTTAGCCCGATCCTGTCGTGTGTTACAACCAAACCAAACCACATTCAAAATTCCAAACACACGTGCTTTGATTAAGGCTTGATTAAGGTTTGCAGAGCTTCAGCATTTGCCATAAAATAGCGAGCAGTTTGTTACAAAACCATATAAATTATATATCACTGTAATAACAAAGCTTCAATCTATTTCCGTATTGTAACGGAATTTTAAATTATGTCTTTATTTTCGAGAAAATTTAGTCCAAACATAAGAAATATTTTGTTGATGATTGACCATCAAAATCTTAAAGATAAAGAAGTTATCTAAAAATGTGTTATATTATCGATATAGTATAATCCTTTATCTTTAATTTCCTTCTTGATTTGTGTAAAAATACCTAGCCGAAAATTACGGTACCGGTAATTTTTACCGGTTTTTATTAAATACCGGTACGAAAATTGTTTTTGATGACGATGTGCAAACGAGTCAAATTTCGTGTGCGCAAAAATAAACTCGCGTAAAATAACAATAAACAGCGTAATAGAGAGATATCGCTAAACCGAATAGCGTGCATGGACGTTAATAAGGCCAGGTGTTATTTCCTTTACGTGAGGTGGTATTAACTCTCTTCATTTATAGTTATCGGATCGGAAAGAATTCTGATCGGTCGCGTCCGCTATTTAAACTTAACCTAACTTTGAATTTAAAACTTTGAAATTGTTTTGTTTACTAGGTATTTTAAAACTAAAGGGCTAAAGTGGTTATTTTCAGTGCTTTATTGTTCAACGTCTGCCAGTGGGTTTAGGGCAACAAGCAACAAATTCTCTTAGAAGGGCTAAGTCGTCATCTGCTGTAAACCTAAGACTCTTTATAGGTTCTTTAGTATTGGAAGAGGTTGAATCCATATTTTGGGCCATATTTATTTAATTAAAACTAATCGCAGCTACTTAAATATCAAATTACCTAATAAAATTAAAGCAATAATTCAAACATAACCTAAAATAAAAGATCTCGCCGGCCGGCTCCGGTTGTCAAATACCCGCACATGCCCATTTAAGCAATGTTTAAACGTTATCAGAGGTTATTTAGAAAGAGCGCTTGGTGTAATTGATCCGCAAATTACGTCAGGCGGTAACGTTATTAGCGGGTGTTGCGTTAAAAATTGACTCGCGCCAAAGACTCGCGCATATCGTAACCATGATAAGGTACGCGTAAATACTGGATGACGCTATTCGGTTTTCCCAGGGTTTTCCGATATCTCTCTAATAACTGTGCCGGTCAGGCGCTGTGCACAATTTTAGAGGCCATAAGTGGGCGTGCTATGTGCGCAAACTAGTCACCTAACTAGTGCCCGATTCCGAAAACTGGAACCACGAAAAACAATAAAGAAAAAACAAAGATTATAATCTGTATAATCTGTGGTGAAACGGACTCTTAAGTAGCATTTAAGTGAGTCAGTAAACCATCCCAACTGGCATTATTAAACGATTTGGCTTGTTTCAGATACAAAGCAGGAGCAACTTATCTCGCTCAGCGAAAGCACTAATAAGCGCGCAACAGAAGAAGGCAAATAAACGATACGCGCCTAAAGATACACAAGGTGAGTTATTAAATCATTCGCCCCTGGTGGAACAGGTTCGTCGATGTAAAAGTAAATAGAGTTTTAAATATAAGTCGTCTACCGCGTTTGAGTATATTTCGCATAAAATTAAAAGCTGAATGTACAAGAATGCGCTTAAATGCCCGTTTTCTTCTTAAGCTTGATTTTCATGCGTCCGTTATCCGTTGATACGATGGTCCGACGGCGCTCTGACTGGTCGTAGCGTTTTCGCGCCACTTTTCATCCGTAAATTTTTTTACTGCAGCCCGTCAACGCAGAAAGATCGTACGATATCGGACGTTTTGACACTTTTTTGACAAATTTAATCTAACCTTAATAAAAATCACTAATATATAAAATCCTTAAGTGACTGACATACTGATTAATCACGATCCTGCTCAAACCACTCAACGCAAGAAGCTCAATTTTGGCATACAGCTTGATTCTAGGGTGTAGAGGTTCGATAAGAAGGGATTTTTCGAAATTCAAGTTCCAAGAGGGTGAAACCACCCCTCAAATATTACAATATTTTTTATTTAAAAAACGGTCAAGTTTCCGAAAAAACGCTTAAACACGTATATTTTATTTTGTTTTTTTACATATTTTAAGATTTTTTAAAAATGTATACAGGGTGTTCCGGAAAATCTGGTCATTGATTAATCACGATCCTGTTTAAAGCGCTTGATGTAAAAAGCTGGTTTTTGGAAAACGGATTGATTTTAGGGTGTAGGTTCGATAAGAAGGGATTTTACGAAACTCGAATTCTAAGGGGGTGAAACCACCCCTCAAATATTAGAATATTTTTTATTTAAAAACCGGTGAGTTTTTCGGAAAAACTCTTAAACACGTATATTCTATTTTGTTGTTTTACATATTTTAAGATTTTTACAAATTTATACAAGGTGTTTCATAAAATATGACCATTGAGTAATCACGATTCTGCTTAAACTGCTTGACGTTTAAAGCTGATTTTTGGCAAACGGGTTGACTGTGGGGTGTAGATGTTCGATAAGGAGGGGTTTCTCGAATCTCAAATTCCAAGAGGGTGAAAACGCCCCTCAAATATTACAATATTTGTTATTTAAAAAACGGTTAGTCTTTCGGGAAAACGCTTGGACACGCATAATTTATGTTGTTCTTTACATATTGTGAAATTTTTTTAAAAATCATACAGGGTATTCCAAAAAGTTGGGTAATTGATTAACCA